ACCTCATTTTTCTTAGGGCTCGATTCAGGTTAACTGCATTTTTTGTCATATGTCTACCAGAATTCAAGTATTTGTAATCTTTGTTAAATGTTTAATAGGTTGAGTTGTACTTGCAACCAAATGTCCCTTTGTAAGTGTTAAGAAAAAAATATAAAAATCAATTTTGGATTAAAAACAAATTTGGCTTTCAAAATAACTTCTCTTCGTACACAAAAATGCAAGAGTTTGAAAATCTGATTCCCCTTCACTGACAGTAAAGTCATCTTCCGAATGAGTTTCAATGGCATGTGTGGTCTGATGTTTCTGCAAGAACTATTCAGACATCACCCAGCATTACTAACACTAGACTGTGGGACAGAGAATGTCCATTAGTTCTTACTAATTTTGGGAAACATTGGTTTTAGTTTGACAGTTATCATTCGCCAAGAGAGTTTCTGGGGGAAAAGAAGAAAGGGATGTCACCTGATTCTTGTAAAGAGTTGTGTACCAACAAAACACATCCAACTTTAACAGAGCTCTTACAGGCCAAAATGTCAACCAAAAGTCATGGAGGCAAAAATACAGCAAATTGTGGAATTGTAGACTGTGTTTCACACGGATGAGAACTAAATGTGTCACCTAACTAAAATGCTCCTTATAGTTCCACTGAAATTACTGAAATCCTATACATTTTTTCTTATCCATAAAGCCAGCTCCTCAAACCACCATCAATCTACTTATGTCACAGGAAAGCACCAAGATGTGATTCCATAGAAGACAGTGGGCATGAATGGATCAGAAGGATCGAAATGAGTGATACTCACCTGAAAGCTCAAAAATCTAACTTTTTCAACAAATATATATTTAGTTCCTACTATGTGCCAAGGTCACAAATTACCTATCTTTGTATGCCTACCACCTCAAATTGTATCAAGCACACATTAGGGTCACAGTATTTTTTTAATATTGAATGATAAATTAATTAATTATAGAGTATACAATACTGTTTTTGTTTAAAAGGATATCAAAGAACATTCTGTGCAAGTGACAACTAAATAAAGTTGTAGAAAATAATTGTTGACGTTACCTGGAGTTTATTTTATTTACTTAACTGACAATAACAATCAGGAGGCATATTAAATAGAGAATCTTACCATTATATCAGTTTATGTGATATACTTCTTTACACTAAGTGGGGGAAAAAGAGGAAGTTAAAGAAGTTCCTTAAGAAAGACATTTTTATGCCAATTACATACTGCACCCAGCCACATTACATTTGACTATATTGAAGTATCAACAAACTTTGCCTAATTCAGAGGTTCTATAGCTTTATAAGTCCCACAACCACTCATCACAATCGGCTGCTAATCACAATCCTGCTCTAAATTACTGCTTTCATTTTGCCAGCACATATGCAGCGATGGTATCTTTCTTGCACGCCTATGATCCCTTATCAGTATGGGACTCTGGAAGACCATTTCATGTTAATGTCCTGAGCCATCTGCCACAGAAGATCACAGATTATGCTGTGATGCTCCTACAGGAAGCTCTGATACCAACAGACTTTGACTAAAGACTTGAGGCTGACATAATAATCCAGTAACTGTATATGGTAACGGTCTGAAGCACCCCTCCAAAAAGAATGGGGAGTACAAAGCAGACAGGGAGTGGTGTACTGGTATTCCATCAATATTCCCCTCGGCATTAGGGCTCTCTGGACATGCCTGATACACAAATTAAATCCCTGATAGACAGGCTGGCAAAGACAAACTCTTACCGTAAGTGCATGTCCTGATGAATTGCTAGTAGCTTCCTGAGGGACAGAAAGAGTGGATGACTGACCCTGGTCTGGGCAAAAGTAATGAAAGACTGAACTAGGGGAACAGGAGTGTAAGTATAAGGGAGAGAGACTAGAGCAGGATAATCAAGGGGACTGTGACAAGTTTAATTTGATAATAAAAAAGAAAACTTGGAGAGGCAAATACATTGGTATCACCTTTTGCCACACTAAATTTTCTACTCCTTTTCACCATGCTCTCCAACTTGGGAGGCTGGCCTGTAGTCTGCAGTAGACTCCGTTTCCTCTCCAGCTGGGTTTAGCGTGCAGCAGCTTGGGCAGGCCATCAGAAGGAAAAGAGCGATAGATCAAAGTACTTATTCCGATAGCTTTATCACTGCGAGGCTGCCTCAGGCTGGTTCCGTCCCTCAGTCCAAGGTCATGGCACCTCCCAGGACAGCTCTCTCTCTCTCTCTCTCTCTCTCTCGACTCTTTTCTCTTCTTCTGGGGTCCAGAAACATCTCCCTTTGCACAAGAGGGATAGTAACAACCCCACTGTTCCTAGCACTGGACACTACACTCTCCCTCATGGGTTCCCTAAACCTAACTGCACTTTTGGAAATTACGGTTTCTAGTAAACTCCTTAAATCATCCCACCTGAGTGTATACTTTGCTTCCTGCTGAGACTGATACACCAAATATGATTCTGAGATTTTGCTCTTGGGTGGCTGTGAGGGTGGATGACGTTATGAGCTAAGGAATACAGGAAGATGAGAATGTTCAAATGTGGAAAGAAAAACCACATCTTGAAGTTGCTATATAACAACTCTGGATCGTCCACAGACAGAGGTTGGCAGCAGCTGTAAAAGCAGACGTGGCATAAAGATGGAGATAAAAATTAATTTTGAGAAATCTGTAAGCACTGATCACTTCTATAAGCTCTAGCTTAAAATAGAGAATTAACTTAATTTAGGAGACGGATTCAGCAAACTCTTTCTAAAATTTCAGAACACTAGAGCTTAAAGGATGCTCATGGTCTTCTAGCTGAGCTCTCCTTTTCTGAGTGTTGTAACTGAAGTCCACGGTTAGCCATCGAAGGGCACACCGTCAGTTAACGGCGGTGCTGGCTGTGGAATCGACAGCTTCTGGGCTCTCCCAGCTGTGTGTGCTCTTTCCACAAAATGCAGCCTTTACCTCTATTTTGCTGCTTCCCACTAGCCACCAGGGACAGAGGACTTAGTCAGTGCCCAGCCTTGTGCTAATTGAGGGAAGGAATAATGCAGAAGTAAAACAGAGTTCCAGAAGCTTACAGTCTTAATTGACTAAAATAACAAATGTTTAGAAATGAGAGTGCAAGAGAGAAATGGCCGGCCAGACGCAAGGAAAAGAGGACATTTTGTAGGACAGGGGCACTCTCATCCGGCATTAGCACTTTGAGATTTTAGCGGTTTCACGTGCCTCGCTGGTGTGAGCCAGGAAGTAGTAACAGTTGGCTTGATTACTGTCCTAGCATTCAAGGATTATCTAATTTATTCTGCTTAAGAATATAAGTTTTAACTGTAGAATAACATGAAGCATAAGGATCTATAAGTCTGTTGGTTTCTATCTATAGAGACCCTCCTTCCAAGTGACAGCTTAAATCCAAACATATTTTGGCAAATGAGAGAGCAGAAAAGATATTCCTATTATTCACACATGTGTGAATTTATCTATGTATTGTTATTATTTAGCTGTAAATATAAAGTGAGTAGGAGAGATGATGGTCTGAAAGCCTACACACCTCAACATGGCTCCTTAGAAATCACATATATTTTCTGCCCCGTTTATTTTATGGTTGCTATATACAATTCTAAACTATGCTGAGAAACCTCTTAGTAGGAATTATAACTGGATTGCTATCATTATTCTATTTTCACATGCTCATAACTTTCTCAGCAGCATTTATCAGTGCTGAGAAATGACCTGCTTGGGCTCTTATAAGGGGAAAATTCCTTTAAGTCTGAAGAGCTGTTATCAATTTGGGAGTTACTGCTGGAAGAAAAAGGTGATGCCTACATAGGCAGTTGAAATGATCTATATTTATCTTAAAGCTGAAACTAGCTTATTGTATAAATTACAGCTTACAATTGCTTCACAGATTTTCTAGTTTTCCACCTGCTAGGCCTATATAATTTCAGACTTTGGCAAGTGGAAGAGATTAAGAAAAAAGGTGATAATTCCTTAAGTCTGAGCCAAAAGAGAGAGAGAGACAGACAGACAGTAAGACAGAGAGAAAGAGAGAAAGAAGGGTCTAATAGATTCAAAATTAAGAAGGAAAACCCTCAATAGAGAGGAAGCAATTGTCCTCAAAGACATTTACCCAAGGCATCTGGCCTACATAAAACTCATATCATTGAAGAGGTGGACTAAGTAAACACATTTCCCTGTGTGTGAACTGGTGTTACAAGCTCAAATATCTTCAGGGACAGGCAGTTAATCTGAAATTGCAAAGCAGCCAAGTCTTAGACTAGAGAGAGTTATGAGGACAATAACTACCTGAAAAGTACAGGCTCTACCCATGGCCTCATGTGTGTGCGTGTGTGTGTGTGTGTATGTTTACAAACCATGGGCTAAACAAAGAATGGCTACAGGCTGAATTATGCCTGTTTACCTCTGTTTTATGATGCCTATTTTAGACATATTAAGTTGAATGCTTCTTTCTCTTTCAATTTGTGGAAATTTTTCATTCCTTGGGCCGGCTAGTTTGGGACATTTCATGATTGCTATGGTCTTGGTGTTGTGTCCCCTTCAAATTTATATGCTGAGATCCTAACCGCCACCCCCCCCACCCCCCCAAAAAAAAAGATGGTTTTAGGAGGTGAGGCCTTAGGGAGCTGCTTAGGTCATAAGGGTGGAGTCTTATTGAGATTAATGTTTTTATAAACGAGGTCCCGCAGAGAGCCCTAGCCCTTCCTCCATGTTTGAACATAGTGAAAAGGTGCTGGCTATGAGCCAGGCAGAAGGTCTTCACCCAACCATGCTGGTAACTGACCTTGCGATTCCCAACCTCCAGAAACGTAAGAAATAAATTGCTGTGGTTTAAAAGTCACCCAGTCTATGGGATTTTGTTATAGCAGCCCAAACAGTCGAAACCAGTTATCAGTCCTTCCTTTTATTTTCAATTTTATGAGAGAAATCAATTTTTATAAGAAAAAGTCAAAAAGTTTCCTAGGTGAGAGTGAATATATGCTGATTCATTTCCTAGGAATTGAAAGAAAGAAACTTCAGCAACTGCATCTCTTGTCTTCTAAAGTCTTTCCACTCCTTCTACACAAAACGCAAGGGGAGAGATTTCAAGAGACTCCAGCTGCGTAGAGCAGCTCATTGATAAAAATCATGTATAATCAAGATTACCTAAGAAATACTGACATCTTAAACACTGAGAATTGAACGGCAAAGCAAAGGATTATCTTAGTTTCACTCTGCAGGTAAGAAACCAAAATGCCATTAACGAAGTGTTGGTTTTATCTTGTAGTCTCTGCATGAACCACAGTTTTGATTTTATGTTCACCCAAGCATATTAAGGGGAGACAGGATGTCTGCACAACCCAGCTCAATTATCTGTTCTTTCCTACGACAGCATTCATCATTGTGGGAAGGAAAATTTGGCTCAGATGACGCTCATATCTTATACCAATACTGGGCTAACAACAGTGTAAGTTTACTCCCACAGCCAATAATTCAAATACTAAATTACTACACGTACAGCTTGTGAACCAGAAATTCTCATAAAAATTGTTATTAATATGAAGAGTGTTTGCTTATGTACTTTCAAACTATGGATTTAAAATGTTTTTTTCATACTCATACATTTTTAGATACATCCTACTTTTCTCCCTCAGTACAATAAGAATTATGATAGAATTTATGAGAGAATGATGTGAGCAAAATCCTTGGAAGGCTTTTCAGAGCCAGACTAGGTTAAAGATACATAATATGCACATGGACAAAGACTGGAAATCAATTTTTAAGTGCACAAAATTGGAAAAGTTGAATTACAGGCTAATTTTTGGTTTTTAAACACTGTATGATTGTGTAAATTCAACGAATTAAAGCTCAGGCACTTACCGTGGTCGGAAAGTAACGACTCGTTTTGAATTTTTTCAGAGCCATAGAAGAGGTGTAGGTGCCCAAGAAGAGGATGAAAGACATGAGAGTAATGTCAGGGACAAAATCACAGTTGTTCCCCACGAGCTTTCCTCCATATTTCAAACACTTCTTCGTTGACAAAAATGCCCAGTCAAAGGTAGCATTATGGTACTGAAGAAGAAAAACATGAACATTTTTTCTAAAGAACACCAACTAATCGAAAGCAGCATTTGATACTTGGTGGGCTATGTAGGGATTAGGCTGAAAGTCTCTGTAGAACAGCTAGAGAGTAACCGCTGGAGGGTGAAACCTGACGAAGTGTTAATGGAGTAACAGCTACCAGGGACCAGGAGGCTAACAATTACTGAAAACACAATGAAAATGATGCCATCTGTTACCCACTTTGAGCTACAGCCCTCCAATCATCCATTTGTTCAACAGAAACAAACCACAAAGTCCTTCTTTCCTGCCAACCTTCCTGAGAGTAAAATGAGACACATTAATATCCTAATGTGAGATACTCTCTAAAACACCTTTGTTGTTTAAAAAGTACTTACTTTTACAGTACACAGCATCTTTGGATTCAAGCTTCTGGCCCTACAATTAATGCTAAAAGCTGTATTAGGTTAACTATGCATCTACCCCACACTTTCCCAAAGGGGCTATTTCTTTTTCTAAATAACTAGAGACCGGTGATGTAAGGAATTAGACTATAAAAATGCTGATGGTTCCTGCTTTTTCAATTGCATATCCTAATAAAATAAAGCTTTTTATCTTGTGGACACCAGGTGAGCATCATGCGCATCCACTGGTGGAATGTACTAGAATGGGCTTTGGAGTCCTCTGTGGCATATCTATCCCTATGGTACGTGACCTCGAGTTCATGGGTCGGTTTTCAAATTTTCTTCTATGTCATGAATTGCTATCATGTCATACTTCGGAGTGCAGCTAACTCCTGTTCCTATTTTCCATTTCTAAACTGCAGGAGAATCCGTTTGCTAGCACAGTGGATAAGCCAGGGTACTCATCCCTCAGCGGCTCGCAGTCTTAGCTGCTTCTCTAGAGAACTGCCTTCAGTCACATTAGAACTACCTCACCTAAAATGTTATGCCCTATTGCAGCCAGTTACTGACTAACACTAATGGGGTGCTACTGACTACAATTCCCCTAAATACGTTGAAAATCATTGTGATGGTGTCTGGGAGGTGATCAGGCCATAGGAATGGAGCCCTCATGAATGAGACGCATGCTTCTATAAAACAGACCCATGAGAGCTCCCTTGTCTCATCTGCCAGAGAAGGCGGCTGTCAATGAACCAGGAAGTGGGTGGGTCCTCATCAGACACTGCATGTGCCAGCACTGTGATCTTGAACTTTCTCTTAGGTCCAGGGGTAATGAGTATGTCATGTGCTAACAGAAGGTTTATTTGAAAATACCTTGCAAATAAATATAGAAAGATAAATTTCTCCTGTCCTTTGAAAGCAATTCTACTTCATACCAAACTCAGAATCAATATTCTTTACTATTCAATGAATTTTCTTGATGTAAGCAATCTAGTCATAAAAGATCACACATGCAAAAGAAGAATCTTGGACCAGAAATTGTTCCTATTTTTATAGAATTCAAAAGGTAAAGTGCTTACATACGTCAATAAAAAAAATAAACTCTAGGTCTTTCTCTGAAATATTTTTTCTATATTAGCTTCAACTTATAAACAGCTGAATCACATAATTATTCTTTTATCAAACTCCATTTCTGAGAGGTGATTAATCATGTCTCATCTTGTTTTTCAGATTTCTGCATATGAATGCTTTCTGCAAAACACATTTAAAGTTTAGGCAACAGATTTCTTTGTTTTAAGATCAGCAAAAATTTATCATTGTAAATTTCCCTATGTAAATTTACGATAATACCACTTCAGCACTTTAATATGAGCAGAACCCTTTTTTATAACCCAAAGAAGTAAGCTGTGTTAAGACAATCAATCCCAACAGGCAGTTTTTATTGATTTTCTTACAGAGATTCAGGTTGAGGTGAAAATATATACAGATATACATAAAATGATAGATATGTTTTCTCACGTGCATCAACTCAAAATGCCAATATCATTATTTTGTTGGTCTCAAATGATTCTCTGTATCATCATTCAGAAAGTTTAGCCTCCTAACTATCTAAGGATTTGAGTATAAAAAGTTTAGGCAGTACATACAGATACCCCAGTATATGTACACACTTTTCCACTTCCATAAAACTTTAACTCTAGGTAATAAATAATTCTATTTAAACAGCTCTGGAGAGGCATCTATGTTATCTATGTTACTTTAGTGTTATTATTCTATATAAGCTGGTATCATTGAAGGTTAACTCCATAAAACTTCACGCAAGATTCAGATCACAAACAAAATATCTTGTCGATATTAAGACAAGGCATTACTCAGCATTACTCTATCAGTGGTATTTATATGTAAATATGCAAAGTAGAATTTTAGATCATCAGCTGATAATGTAATCACAAATACAATTTATATTATTTTTACTCCAATATATCTCATTTTGTCATCTTTGAAACACATAGGTTTCAGTAAAAATTATATATTTTTTTACTTCAGAGGTACACTCTGCTTAGCCTATGTAAAGGGAACATAAAAAAAGAAAACTAGGGGCGCCTGGGTGGCTTAGTCGGTTAAAGCGTCCGACTTTCGCTTAGGTCATGATCTTGCGGTTTGTGGGTTCAAGCCCCGCGTTGGGCTCTGTGCTGACTGCCAGCTCAGAGCCTGGAGCCTGTTTCAGAGTCTGTGTCTCCCTCTCTCTCTGACCCTCCCCTGTTCACGCTGTCTATCTCTCTCTCTCCTAGAAATAAATAAAAATTAAAAAAAAAAAAACTATACAGATTTGAGTTACTACTTGCTATACTCCAACAGTTTTCAGATTTTAATTATCAGTGAAATATCTTTTCATGTGAAACTCCAGTATTTAAAATTGTGATAAAACTGAGCTATTGTGCCCTATGTAGTTAGGAAGGATTGAGCTTCTCTCCCTCAATACCCCTGACCCCTGCCCCACATCAAGGCAGGCCCTGAGGCCTCTCTTGGGAATCCTAGCTTAGTCTGAGGGGAACATTACTTTAAAAATAATGCTGTCTCATTAAATGTTACCTACCTATATCTATCATTTATAATTATAATTTATCTTAAATTACCATGAGTAGTTTAATCTGGGACTCAACAAACTATATCTAACAGGCCAAACTCAGCCTGGATCCTGTTTCCATAAATAAAGTTTTATTGAAACACAGTAATGCTCATTTCTTTACATAATGTTCATCACTATATTTGTGCTACAACTGCAATGTTGAGTAATTTCACTACCAGATGTCTGACCCATACATCCTAAAAAAAATACTATCTGATCCTTTACAGAAAAAAGTGTCTGCCTTGGTTTAATTTGTCTAAGACTCCTATATTACTTTCTACTATCCTTATAAATAAAACTTATGTGTTTCATCATATTACATTACACATTTTTACTTGACAGTCTTTTATATTTATATTATTATTTCATAGGCAGTGTTTTTGATGCTGGTTGATTCACTGTAAAAAAGTTTTTAAGACCTCCCCCTCAGAATCGCTAGAACCAATACATGAATTCAACAAAGTTGCAGGATATACAATGTGCAGAAATCAGTTGCATTTCTATACACAAATAATGAAGCAGCAGAAAAAGAAATCAAGGAATGGATCCTATTCACAATTGCACCAAAAACAATAAGATACCTAAGAATAAACCTAACTAAACTGGTAAAATATCTATACTATCTTTCTTAGGAAAGAAATTGAAGAGGACACCAAAAAAAAATGGAAAAGAATTCCAAGCTCATGGATTGGAAGAACAAACCTTGTTAAGATGTCTATACTATCCAAAACAATCTGCACATTTAATGCAATCCCTATCAAAATACCACCAGCATTTTTTACAGAATTAGAACAAACAATCCTAAAATTTCTATGGAGCTAACAAAAGACCCCAAATAGCCAAAGCAATCCTGAAAAAGAAAAACATAACTGAAGGCATCCCAATTCCAGATGTCAAGCTATATTATAAAGCTGTAGTCATCAAGACAGTATGGTACTGGCACAAAAATAGACACATCGATCAATGGAACAGAACAGAAAACCCAGAAATGGACCCACAACTATATGGTCAACTGATCTTTGACAAAGCAGGAAAGAATATCCAATACAAAAAGGCAGCCTCTTCAACAAATGCTGCTGGGAAAACTGGATGGCGACATGCAGAAGAATGAAACTGGACCACTTTCTTAGACCATACATAAAAATAAATTCAAAATTGATGAAAGATCTAAATGTGAGACAGGTAACCATCAAAATCCTAGAGAAGAACAAAGGCAGCAACCTCTCTGATCTTGGCCAGAACAACTTCTTACTACACATGTCGCTGAAAGCAATGGAAACAAAAGCAAACATGAAGTATTGGGCTTTGATCAAGATTAAAAAGTTTCTGCACATTGAAGGAAGCAACAAAACTAAAAGGAAGCCTCCATAGTGAGAGAAGACTATTTGCAAATCACATATCTGATAAAGGGTTATTATCCAAAATCTATAAAGAACTCACCAACTCAACACCCAAAAAACAAACAACCCAGTTAAGAAATGGGCAGAAGGCATGAATAGTGAGTCAGAAAAAGACAGAAATCACATGATTTCACTCATATGTGGAATTTAAGAAACTTAACAGATGACCATAGGGGAAGGGGAGAAGAAATAAGATAAAAACAGAGAAGGAGGCAAACCATGGGAGACTCTTAAATACAGAGAACAAACTGAGCATTGATGAGGGGGGTTAGTGAAAATGGATGATGGGCATTAAGGAGGACATTTGTTGGGATGAGTACTAGGTGTTATATATAGGTGATGAACCACTGGATTCTACTCCTGAGGCCAAGACTACACTGTATGTTAACTAACTTGAGAATTAAAAAAATAAAATAAAATAAAGAGGATCTGGACATCCAGATGGCTAACAGACACATGAAAAGATGCTCAGCATCCCTCATTATCAGGGAAATACACATCAAAACTATGATGAGATACCACCACACACCTGCCAGAATGGCTAAAATGAACAACACAAGAACCAATTGACTTATTTTG